TGGACTTCGTAGCAGTTTGTTTTTATCGAATGAAATTTTTCATTCTTCTGAACATATACTCAAGCAATTCGTCAGTTCATCGATATTATCGTTCGCGACGAGTTAAGGTTATTATAAATATCACATAAATAAAATAATAAATAATATCATAATATAAATAAAAATCGTAAATTCATATAATCCTGATTTATGGAAAAAGTGATCGGCAGATTTGAAGGCAAAAGCTGTTCGATTGCTCTATCCCGACTTATTCATCAAATTAAGGTTAAAACAAGGAATTATCGTATTGCTGTAAAATATATTGCAACTAACAACGATCGATGCCAACGTCACTCGTGAAACCCGAGGACGCAGAAAAATAATCGAGTTCGTCGAAATAACGTTCTTCACCGTTCTTCTTCTTCGATCGAATCGCATAAATTAGCATCACGTGGTACCGGATAAATAATATTTCATCCGAACGTAATACGCCACACACACCACTGTAAGTACATACCGAGCGAAGGAATAAATAATCGTCGGCCGCGTAAGTAATCGATCGCGTTTCTCGCATCGCGGAGTCCGCGATGGATCATGCGGATACAAATCCGCGGCTCGTCGCGGCGGCAACGGCAAAAGTCTGCGGAAAAATGGACGGCGAAACCGCCGTGGAAAAATCGCCCGGAAAAATCCGCTCTGGTCGTTCGCCCCTGGAATCTCCTCGCCCCCTCCCCCCTCCCCCGCCCCCACGATTCATGCATGCCAGATCCAGCTAGCATATGTAATCTGCTTCCTCCCTCCCTCCCTCTCTCTCTCTCGATTTCTCGCTCCCTTTTTCTCTCTCGTTCTCTCTCTCTCTCGCTTCCTTTTTCTCTCTCGTTCTCTCTCCCTCTCTCTCTCTCTCTCTCTCTCTCTCTCTATCACTCGCTCTCTCTATCCTTCGCTCTCTCACTCTCTATCTCGTTCTCTCTCTCTCCCTCACTTTCTCTCGCTCTTTTCTGCTCTCTCTCCCTCGCTCTCGCTTTCTCTCACTCGCCCTCTCTCTCTCTCTCTCTCTCTCTCTCTCTCTCGCTATCTCTCGTCCGCTCTCTCTCACTCTCTCGCTATCTCTCGTCCGCTCTCTCTCACTCTCTCGCTCTATCTTTCTTTTGCTCTCTCTCATTCTCTCGCTCTCTCTTTTGCTCTCTCTCTCTCTCACTCTCGCTCTCTCGCTATCTTTTGCTCTCTCTTTCACTTTCTCGCTCTCTTTTGTTCTCTCGCTCTCTCTCTCACTCTCTCGCTTTCTCTCTCTCTCTCTCTCTCTCGCTCTTCTCGCGTGTCCTGCCTCGAGCCCCGAGTCTCGCGTCGCAGAAAGAGTAGTCCATTCGTCCCTGGAAAGAGAGCGGCGTCGCGCGGCCGTATGCGTCGACTTACCCGTCGGTGGAACGAACGCGAACAACACCTTCCAGAATATCGTGACGGAGTGCATCAGATAGTCCATGGTGGATGGAGCCGCTGCCTCGCCGGCACCCTCGGCGTCCTCCTCGTCCCCTCCGCTCACGGTCAACGCCTCCGTGAACTGTTCTCGCCATGAACTGGTCCCTGGAACAACGATCGAAATCATTTTTGTTTTTTTTTCTATTTTTGTTACAACGGTCCTGCAGCAGGATCCTGCTTCGTCGAGCGACCGACGAATTTTACCGAACGCGATTATTCGGGACGACGTCCAATCGAAATTGGAACGTGCCCGTTTGCAACCGCGCCAGTCACCTCGTGAATAATGCGAACGGGGTGGGGGGTGTGGGGGGACTGGGAGTTTTCAAAAAATTATTGGAGCGTACGCTGGAAATTGGGCCAAGACAATGCATGGTCGTCGCGAGCTCGTTCCACGAGCGATAAGATGTTCCCTGTTATTTATACGAAGGGCGCGCGGAAAGGGGAGGGGCGGGGCGAGGATCGTTACGTTGCATTTTTCTGAGAGATTCCTTCGCTCGGTATAACCCTTTTGCACTCGAAGCCGTTTTAACCGTGAATATAAAATCATTTCTCTGATTTATAGTATTTCCATTTTGTATTAAAAAGTGCATTTTACGCGTATGCAATTGAGTCTTGTGACTTGTACGACTATTACACTTTTTTAACAATTTTATAAATCTGAACGTTGACGATATAAAAATTATCTTGGAACGTGGTATAACAATTTTATTTCGCATTATTTATATGTTTGTTATGGGCTCGGATACGAGAGTTGAAGAAAAACATCATTTCTTAAATTTGTTATCGTTCCAATGATCTTGAATCAATCAAATTTATCGTTCGACGATCTAAAAATCTTTTTTTGTACTAATTCCATAGAAAACCGGTTGGTCTAACCTCTCAAAAAAATTCAAGTCCTTCGAACCAGTTTTAAGAATGTTATACATTTTTCAATTTTTTCTTTATTCTATATTATTCTTTATTAATTTATTCTGTACTATCAATTGCGATCTCAAAAACTTTCTGTATACTCGTTCCATCGAAAATGCAATCTAACCTCTCAAAAAAATTCAAGTCCTTTGAACTAATTCAATAAAAATTATTCGACTTGAAAAGTCGTGAACAAATCGTCTCGTCTCGCCGAGACGAACAATTTCAACTCGCGTCCAAAGATCTCGCAAAGAGCATTGGAACGCGATTTCGGCCAGTTTCGCGCCGATCCGATGAAACGGGACTCGGGAAACGGAAGCGAAGAATCGAGTTCGTGCAAGCTCGGCGGAATTCGAGGCCAGGCATTAGGCGGATCGTGGTCGCGGCGTGGCAGAACTTTCGAATCGAGGAAACCGCGCAACGATTCGCCAACGGTCGCGGAATTCGTCAACCCGAAAGTCGACGAAAAAAAAAACGCGAGCCGAAGGACGCGCCGCGTCGGCGTCGACGAACCTCCGAGGATTTTCTTGTCGACGCCGACGGTCGACGGTCGGCGGAGCGTCTCCGGAGCTGCCGTCTGCCGCGACGTTTCTTGCCGGGAGAAATAAATCAGCTCGACACCGCCTGGGAATGCAAATGCTTCCGCTAACTTTGCTACTTTTCGGATGCATTCGACCCCGTTTCTTACTCCTCGAGGATATCGCGGACTGTTGCAAATGGGCCGCGCTGAAATCGTTGTAGCTTTTCTAGGCGTCGTGCAACTGAACGTTCCCGAAAATCTCGAGCTTACGATTCCGTCGTGATGCAAGCTCCGTGTCCGGAGAGTGTGCGTCTTTTATTCAGGAAAAATTGTCTTCGGTACGCGAGCTGTTACCGCCTACGCCTTCGCCGGATTTATTCTCCTTTCCCGAAAGTAGCCGATCCGTCTCTGTTTATGCACGAACTTCGTCCATCTTTCTGTCATCACTGCGCGCGAGAAGCAAGGCCCGCTGGAAAGGCCTTTACCGATGCGTCCTCCGGCGGCACTCGGGCGAAACGCTTTCCTTTCTTTTCCTTCGTACTCCGCGATCGTTCCGTTCTACGTGTGACTAGAGGACTGCTGTTACCCCCACTACTAGCATTTTGAGCGATCCTCCGCGAACGATCGTGACAAGTGGCTCGCGCGCGGTATAGGCAACTTTTAGTCGATGATTCATTTGTTTCAATCTGCAGACTCGTGCGGGGATAATGGCCGACCGCGAGATCGGCGGTGCTCGGGACGCTTCGGAACGCAACATTCGACTCCGCTGTTGGAGGAAGCGGTTCGAGTCTTGTAAACGTTTGCTGACGATTATCGACGATTGCCGGCGGCTATTGCAAGATCAAAGTGGATCCTTGCGAGAGGACGATTAAGAGATACAGAGTGATTTCTTCCGTTGAGAAAGAGGGGACGGAACTAGTAGCGTCAGTGTTGCAGATCAATCCTTGTAATAACCTAATGACTGATAACCTAAATAAGCTAAATAACCTGAATCTCCTAAATAACCTAAATAATCTAAATAATCTAAATAATCTAAATGACCTAAATAACATAAATAACTGAAATAACCTAAATAATCTAAATAACCGAAATAATCTAAATAACCTAAATATAACCTAAATAATCTAAATAATCTAAATAACCTAAATAACTTAAATAACCTTGATATAATCTAAATAACCTAAATAACCTTGACATAACCTAAATAACTGAAATGACCTAAATAATTTAAATAACCTAAATAACTTAATAACCTAATAACCTAATATTCAAACTGAACGATCACAGCACAGCGTGTACACGCGTATTCGATAAAATAGTAATATAATATAATACAAAGTAATTAACTGTGCGTGTGCGTGTGTGTGTGTGTGTATACATATGCATAGAAGTGGACAGAAATAGAGTCAACAGATGCAAAACAATTATCGAGATCGGGAGAATATTTTACTTTCTGCCTCGGCTATGGCATTTAACGAACTATTTTATTTTACGTCGCACGAAACGTTCCGTTTGTGGAATTTTCGCTTTCGGTTCTCGTTTCGGTTCTTGACAACGAAACAAAGCCTCCTCCTGTCCTCTGCGACGCAGCATGGATCACGGTTGATCCAGCCGGCAGGGTAGGGCAGGGAAGGGGAGGGGAGGGGGAAACGGACGTGTCGAGATCGAGATTGCCGGGAAAGTCGCCGACAGCTTCGACGCTGGCAAATCGGGAAAGGGTTGGTTGGCTCAGCGCTCGATTCTGTCCAATCTATCGAATCTATCGAATCTATCGAATCTATCGAATCTATCGAATCTATCGAATCTACCGAATCTATCGAATTTCCAGACAGACGATGTTTATCTCGAAACGCGAGCGTGTCAAATACCTGTGTTGTATTTCACCAATTCCGTGCAGCGTATTCCACGCACAGCTCAGAATTCACACAGTTTCCCCTTTTTTTTCGAAGTCCCGAAATATTCTCCGATGCCTTTTTCACCATAAACCGACCCATACTTTCGATTCGATTCGACGATTGGAAATTCGCTGGCGACACGGAAGAAGCCAGCGCGTATTCAGATTATCTGCGCAATATCCGGAATTTTAACGAACTCGAATTAATTGAAACTGTTACGAAAGCTGTCTTGTTTTTCGGAGCGGGATACGCGTATACGATAACGCCGCGAATGGATCGTAAGACCGTGATATACCTTGGAACCGATCAAATTTCAAAGTATAATGGCGAGCGGCGGACGGGAGTTTCGAGAATTTCATAAAATTGAATGGGAATCCGATTCGAGGAAACTCGGTCAGCCGTCGTTAAATTTGGTCGATCGGTATCGTCGAAACAGCCCCGCGCCGCCCAGAGCTCGCCTGCCTGTCTGCTTGCGAAATTTATTCAAGGCCCGCGTAAACAGGGTCGAGAGAGAGCGATCGCGGTCCTAAAACCGGAAATACAACTTCTCTCGACTTCGAGTCTTTTGATCGAGCAAGAGCTGGAGCTTGAAGCACTCGCTTCGAGAGCGCCGAGTGCCGGTGCTCGGGCTTTTGTCGAGCGGCGCACCGCCGCCTCGTGTCGGCTCGCGTCGGCTCGTGCGGGTCGCGTCGCCTCGCGTCGGCTCGCGTCGCCTCGCGTTGTCTCGCGTTGTCTCGCGTCGCGTCGCGTCGCATCGGTTCGCGTCGGCTCGCATCGCCTCGCGTTGTCTCACGTCGGCTCGCATCGCCCTCGTCGCGTTGTCTCGCGTTGTCTCGCGTCGCGTCGGAACAAGTTCGAATCGACTGGCTCTCGGCCGACGTCGGTGCCTCGATGTCCCCGAAGGCACGACCCCGGAAACGGAATTATCAACGCTGCTTTATCGCATTATTTTGCCGCGTGCCTGCGACCCGTCGAAACCGGCTTCGCCTCTCCCGCCGTCGTTCTGTCTCTCGGAAATTAGTTCGACCGAGTTTTAATCTGTTTAACGTCGCAGAGACGACGACGGGCCCCGTGTTTATCCGCGTTCGGCGAGTTTCTCTGTTCTGCTTTTTCGTTTGTTCGAAAGCGAACATTCTTTAATCCGAGCTTTATCGCGACGGGCTGAACTTTTGCGCGCTAGTTGATGTATACTTGCGCGCGCGCGGACCGCCTTCGTCGTTTAATCCCGCGATAACGAACTTTACCGTCGCGCGTCGGACGGAAACAATTTTTCATTCCGGAAACTGGCGACAGTTCAAGGTTTAAGCAATCGAATCTCGGAGACCGATTCGATCACGGATGTACGTTACACGTGTTTCTTTGTACTCGGCTGATACAATTTAGCGATTTATTCGACTCGTTCTGCTCGCTCTTTCTTATTTTCTGTAAAATGAAAACGAATAATGAATCGCGATTAGGATCTGCTGTGTGTACGAGAGTACAGTCGTTGATAGCTACTCTACGCAACGAGCACGCGAAAACGATTGAAAAACAAACGCAAACTTTGCCGGTCGGAAAACGAAATTTCCTCCGTGCAAAGGCGGATGCTCCGGAGTAGGTTTTTTCTTTCTTTACGAATGAACCCCCCCCCCCCCGGTGTAATTTACAAAGGCGGTCTTCTCTGTCTGAAAATCCGCTAATGTGTAAAATTAGTTTACATTCTGTCGGGGCTCGAATAGAAATTTCAGCGAAGATTATTTGATCGCGAGACTACGAGTGGAACGAGTCGACTATGGTCGGAC